TTTATCAGGAGACAGGACAGTGGACAGAGTCAGAAATTGGGTAGAAAGTGAGATAGGGGAATGACATCTGGGAAAGGAGCCACAGGTCGGATTCAAACCTGGGGCCGACCGTTTGGAGAACTACAGCCTCCTTACATGGGGAATGTGCACTGACCTATGCTATGCCACCAGTGCCCAAATAATCAAAGTCATATATAAAAAAACTTTATTTGTGTGAAGTAAAATGTTCTTTTCTCCTCTTTCTGCCAAAATCTGGTTGTTTGTTTTGGATTTACATCCAGACGTTAATCTAAAGCAGACAGGTGTGTGATGTATGCTAAGAGGCTCTTTTGGCAGGGAATTTTCAAAGTTACTTCAATTGACAAAGACAACAAAGTTTAAAGAACTAAAGCTGCTTTATCATTTCCTCCCATTAAAAAGATTTAAAAAAATGTGTTGCATGTTAAAACTATGTGATTCAAAATACAGTCTAAAATGTTATCCATGTCCATGTGTGGTTTATTGTTTGTGTACCTCATTGATGAGCATGCGTGAGGCCATGGTGAGGCGAGTCCTGGGGGAGAAATGATCGGTGATCATGATCCTCATGCCGGCCTCGGAGAAAGTCAGCTGGTGGGGGTACGCAGAGAGCAGCTCGTCCACCATCAGCACCGACGGCTTACAGTGGAAGTTAGCTGGAGAGAAAGGCAAGGCAAGTTTATTTCTATAGCACATTTTAACAACAAGGCAATTCAAAGTGCTTCACACAAGAAATCAAAAGCATCATGACAGAGGAAAGAAAAGAAACATTCAAATAGAACATTTAAAAATCACTGAAATTATTCAATCTGAAAATATGTACATCTGAAAATATGCACAAATCTCCCCCACAGGGGATCAATAAAGTTTATCTTTAGCTTTATCTTTATGTTCAAATAAAAATAATTCAAATGAAATTAATTGAAATAAATAAAGTAAAAATATAAAAAGAGTTAAAAGTTACAGAGCAGAGTTAAAGTTTAAAATCTTATTAAAATTGTTTAATGAAAGGCAGCTGTAAACAGGTGTGAAAGAAATAATAATAAAGTTCCTCTGACTGCAGTGCTAAACTGACATCACAATTAGTCATTGTCATTAGTCGTCAGTTTTTTTTGCAGTCAAAAATCACGTGGAAACATTTTCTTATAACTGCCAAACATTTTCATGACTTAATACTAAAAGGGACTCTGCAGTTAAAGTTGCAACTTGTGCCTGTGAGTGGGTGCGTTGCTTTAATGGTTTGACAGTATAGTTCCCTTCAGCAGCTACATTTAGCCTATAGAGATGAGGTGTATTATGGTTCAATTGAACGCTTGCAGAGAATGGCAACCTCTGACTGACAAGTCATAAATTTCATTTTAAATCTACAATCATTTTTAATTCCTATGTTGATGCAAATGAATATAGACTTTGACAATTTCGCTGAATTAAATAAAGAATGATTTTACAATCAATAGCCGGTTAGAGTTCATCCTATAAACAACATTTTCATACAGTCAAATAATTTCCATGGCATATATGAGGTCTGAAAAATGTGACCTAACCCCTAACCCTTGTAGATCCCTTCTGAAAGGCGACAGAGGGAGATTTGGAACAGAGCTGTAGAGTTTTGTATTTTAGGGCAGAAATTGACTTATTCTGCAGCTGGTCGTTATAAATCCTGTTAGTGTTTCTTCATGGAAGCCACAATGTAAAAGCTCATTGCAGAGCATGTAAGCAGAGGGCTTTTTCAAATAAAGGAAGCTCTTCCACCAACAAGGAGCTGAAGTGAAGTAGAAGGAAACCCTTATGCTTCAGCCCCTCCATATACTGTAGGAGGTCAGTGATCTCAGAGAAGGACGTCAAAGAGAATTCAGTGGACTCCTTCACACAGGCAGAATCCAAAGAAAGTACTGAAGCACAATAATCACTTGTGATACATTTATCACAGTGCAAAGGTTGACTAACTTTAAGAGGCTAAAGTCATTTTTGTGTGGCCTTCTTCTCAGACAGCAGGACCAACATCAAAATAACTTTTGGATGAAATCTTCCTTTTACTGTCTTCTACTTAAACTAGATAAAAGTAGATTGAGCCACTGCTCTATTCATGTGAAATTCTGTTTGCAGGGATGAGCAGCCCAAACCTACAGAGTCCTTCTTAGAGGTCAAAGTCTGTGTTTAAAAAAAAAAAAGCAGACTTTTGTTACCTTTCTTGAGCAGGACTGCAGTAGCATCACACGTCACATTGTCCTCCAGGTCTGTGCTTCCTGTCAGCCCGTTGGCTAGATTCATAGAGTTCTTCTTTCGACGGTCAAAGTAGCGGTGTGCCCTGCCGTTAAACCTGCCGAGGACAAAACAAACAAAAAGGAGGACAAAAAGTCTTTGAACTAAATGTGAATGATAAGGTACCTTAAGTGAATGACAATGTACAGAAGTTGTTTGTGTTTACATCTAATGAGGAGGATCATAGACAGAGATTTAATTTTAAAAGTCCATTTGCACACACTACATTAAAACAAATGTGTATCTCAGTAAATGGAGTTAAATTATGGAATTCTCTCGATAATCATTTGAAATGCTGCTCAACTATCATTCAATTTAAAAGAAAGTATAAAGAAAAGGTTCTGGGAAATTATGATCTAACTGATTGTATTTGATTGTTTCTATATTGTTGATGTATTTTTTGTTTTGTGAAAGAAAGAGAAAACAACAGGTTAGCCATCTTATTCTGTTAAACAGTATCTTATGTTATTAGGAAAGGGGGCATGTATTATAAGTTTTCTTCTTCCTGCTCCTGTTTGCTCATGAACAGTGTTTCAGTATTATGAGAAAATATTTTTTGTTGTGTATTATTGTGTTGAAACCATACACTGAAATGAGCAAATAAATCAAATAAGAAATGAAATGAGCAGTTTCTGATGGGGACTTACTTCATGATGAGGATGTAGATTGCATACATTAAAATCAGGACAAGAGACTCCCACCTGCACACAAACACAAGGTCAGTATTCTGCATGTAGTTGTTCAGTGTTTTAAGAAATGCATATACTGTACATGATTTAAAAGCTGCAACAGAAAATGCAGTACGCACCAGACCACCTTCTCATCGTAGATAAACTAAAAAGAGAAGACAAAGAGGACACAAAGGGATATTAGATGCAGAAAGTTTGAAAGTTACATTAATTCTGAAATTCACCATCTCCTCCACTAGAGGGCATGACTGATCCAGAGCACAGACAGCCAGAAAAAAAAGGTCAAAACATGACCTTTAGTTGATTTCACTGAATATTGAGACAGCAAGGACAAAGAAAACAGACTTTTTCAATATCTAAAAAAAGACTTGTGAGATTTTCTATCAAGGATCTGTAACATTGTCATGATGGCATTGGAGTGATTCAGAGTTATCTGTTGATGTGGGCATGATGTAGAAGAACATGTTGCCTGGCCCCATAGCATGTTAGGTTTAACTGGCTGCTAACCTGGAGTGTCTCACACAAACACATGCCTCATCTCTCCCCCAATCCTTCATACTGACTCCAAACAGTATTCGGTACAAATTGTAGTATTCTCTATATAGCAATCTGTTTTTGATACAAGTACACAACAACTCAGCATACTTCAAGGACTTTTCAATGTCATTGCAGATCATAGAGCGAAAGGACGTGTTTTTCCCCCCACACGCTCAAAGGAAAATCCAGTTCTCTCTGCGAATCACATCTGAAAAAACAGGCTTATATATAGCTTCTATTTAACAATCAATTCAGTGTGATATTGTACCACGATTATCATGTTATTTGTATTTTTTTGGTAGCTTAAACATACATACTTTTTTTACTAAACTTTTTAGCAACGTAGGCCATAGAAAAACATCAACTTTAATACAATCTCATGGAATAACACAATTAATTATCTATTACAATCAAATTGACATAAATACTTCAAAGCAGTGTGCAGCATAAATATGTTAGAAAGTGAACGTATAGTTCTCCGCTACCACTGCAGCGTTTTCTCTTTGCATTAGATTGTGGGATAACAGTGTCCACTAAGAAAAATTTGAATTTTTTTTGCTTGCTTTTGTTGTCCATATTTTTCCCCTTCTAGTATAAATACAGATCTGTAGAACATTTGATGGACTTGTAACACATCCTCATTCTCTCATGATGCTCCACGCGTATTACAAGTTTAAGAAACCAAAATACAGGCTCTGCTAAGAAGATTGCTGTGATTTAAAAAAAAAAAAAAAAAAAGCTGTTAAAAAAACAAGAAACAGGGTAACAAGGTGGATGTACACTATTGACTTTCTTCCTTCTTAGCCGATAATGCTGAGGCAGAAAGTGTAAATTGGGTATTGATATAAAAGCTACACTTTCAAACTGGACTTACAGTGTATGCCTTATAGTGAGTGTACCTGCATACATCTGCAGTGGAGACACTTGAGCAACATGAACAGTGTGTTTTGCATGCGAGTCTGTAATCTCTTACCGCAATGAGGGCTATGATAGAAAACGTGTAATAAATGGAATCTCGGAGTAGAGCCCAGTGAGAGAGCTTCACTGCCTGCAAGGGGGAAGAAAAAAAAGAAGAAAAAAGCGTGATAAGCACACTCACTTAAGGATGCATGCAGCTTCAATTCATACACTCTTATAGTAACACTTGTCCCTCCTGGAGTTTTTATGCAGCACTGTGCTGCAGAGACGCCTCTGACATCATTACCATACTGATATAAACACAGGATTTCTCCAGTTGACCTCCTGAATCACAGTCACTGAAAAGGTACCATCCTACGTAGAAGGAAAAAAAAAAAAAAAAAGGTGCCGGTGTGTTTATATTAACTTTTTTTTGTAATCAGATACAATGCAGGAGGAGCCCACAATGCAGTGACTAACTAATGCAACACTCTCCCACACAGCAGCATCACACTGCATATACACACGAGTGGAGGGTCAGAGGTCACATCTTTGAAAAGTGCCACTCCCTGATGAGAAAACGTTTGCTGCTGCGAGGGCAGATGGCAAAGTAAGAGCGAAAAACAAAGCGTTTGCAATGTTTGCTTGTGCTCTGTTTCCCTGAACAAAAAGTTCTTTGTAGATAGGTTCTCCTTTGAAACATCAGCCAAAGCTAACAAACTGTAGTGAGATGCAACTGCCAGAATTGAAGATGATTTTTTTTGGTGCACCCCCATCCCTCCAAGCCCCGGTGCACACCGCCCTGCCCCTTCTCCTTCATTATCTCACTATGATTACGTAACGTACAATCTGGGATTGCATCACTGCTTTTGGAGTCCGGTGCATATATATTTTTCAGAGCGGAGAAGCTTATCCTTGTATTCTGCTCATTTCAAAGTCCCGGGCTGATGTCGGATAGCATCAGAGAGAGAGGCTGCACTGTATTATGTTATCTCCCAAATCTCAAGCAAAACAAAGCAGGGAAGATGCAAAGCAGAAATGAGATACAAACTATCTTTTAGGTTGAGGCTGATGTGGGGATGTGGTGCCCGTGTAGCTGGTTAAACAGAGTGAGCACAGGAGAGAATATGAAAGGAAGCACCGCACAAACATAAGCACAGCAAAACAGGAAAGTTTCCTGCTTAGGCTTTACTTTTCTTTGGACCTTTTCTTCAATATTCAGGGATGTGTCTCATCTTGTCGAGGCTTTTTCTCATACCAAACAAGAAAGTCACACCAAAGATTTGATAAATCTGACAGGATTGACACAAGGGAAAGATATACATCATGGAGGCTTCAGGTACATTTTAAAGAACAAACACTAGAAATAGCCTAATGTACATCCATAAAAAAGTGGGGTTCTCTGAGTTAACACATGGTTCTGACCTCATTTTGAAATTCATTTTTGGTGCAGTCAGACTTGTGGACTCTTGCATGCATTAATCAACAGCATGCTTGTATTTCCTTCTCTCTCGTGAATAAAATTATGCATGAATACATGAGTACTAGGGCTGGGCAATCAAAACCATTTCAAGAGGGTGTTGAGATGAAATTTACATCCGAGTGAACTCCTGTCACCCTACAAACATATTGAAATTGTAAACAAAAAACTGGTTAATGTGAGTCATGTAATAATCAGCGACAGCTCGGCTAGCAGCCCCCTCATCAGACATCCTGTGCCCGTCGAAAAAGGCCTTGAAGAAACAGATTTTTCACCTTTTTTTTGTTTTTGTATGTTTTTATTTCTGCCTCTGTTTGTTTTGGAGAGGTGCTGAACATTAGAGATGAGTTATCCTTTATTAAAATGGCTTTTAATGTTAAACATGGACAAAAACGTAACTCCCTTAAAATAAGCAGGGCTTATGTTGGTGGCAGCTGGGCATGAAGCCCACCTGGACATGTTATGTTGAGAGATATTCCTTTTTAAAATGCTTTTTCCTGATTAAAGTAGCTAAACTTAAAAAAAAAAATCATACTTCACACTTCACAAAGAAAATGTGTGATAGTATAAACTGCTTTTTTGTAAGCAAAACAAATAAACTGTCCGTCACTTTAAGGGATCTGTCAATGTCAGGAAACTCATTTAACATTAATATAAACATAAATATGAATCAATATAGGAAATATTCCTGATCATATTTGGCCCTTATTACCAATTCCTTACAAGCACTTTAAGAAACTGTCTGTTTATTTGGCTGAACATTTAAGGTGACATTCATCTATTAGTTGTGAATCTGTGAAAATGCCGACTCATACCTGGCCAGCAAAGAAGCCACAAACACCGATGATGCAGAGGATGTTGAAGACAGCTGAACCCACGATGGTCCCCACGCCCACATCTCCCTTAGTGATAAACACCCCTGTGGAGAGAACAAGCAAACACACACACACACGCACGCACGCACGCACGCACGCACGCACACACACACGCGCGCACGCGCACACGCACACACGCACAAATCCACACATCATTACAAATCCTTAGAGAGCACGTATTAGGTGTTGTTGTAAACTACTTGTTATTTCCAGTTGTGGTATTTGACAAACATATCGTACATAACAGTCAAAACATTTGTAAAAAAGCTTTGCTATATTGTCATGGATTTATTTCTCTGACTCCGAACTAACAATAAGCACAGAGAAGAAGAAGATTCTTTGTGCCATTCTTTGAGGCTGATAAAAACCCAAAGACACTTTGATATTTGGTAACAAATCAGCAGAGATTTGAATCTCTTAAGCCCGGTCTGTATGTATAATTAGATTTCTATATAAAGAACAAAGTCATGTAATGTAACAGGCCAGCCTTTGAAGTGATTTGTACTCATATGGTTGTTTGTGACGGACGTACCACACCAAGAGTTGCTTTGATCAAAGTGAAAATACATGCCCTCACTCCTCATCAGCAGTTGTGTGGAGCTCATTACATAACAAGACTTTTATGTGATTCTGTAAATTGAAACCATGTTTGTTTACTAAGTGTGTCTTGAGATTTAAATATTTTTCTTGAGCATCCATTAAGGGGGGGGGGGAGGATACCAGTATTTTTAAACTTGATGGCTTGCAAATGACTGGTATTTGATGGCTTTAAAAGATTGCTCCGAAACCGACTATGGTCATGCCAGATCTTAGACATGACAGGTATACATTGTTATTCCTGGATTCAAACAGCATTACGAAAAGCATCCAAACAGAGACGGACCCTCTGTTAAAGAGAAAGATGCTTTTTTTGAATAAAACTAGAAGCAGCTGTTACCTCCCTCCACTGACAAATACACGAGTTGTTATTCTTCTGCTGCCGTGATTGGTCATTTTTCTCTAGAACTGTGTTTCACAAATACTGGTTTGAAAATCAACTAGCAGCAATAAATAAAAACACAAACAAGGTAACTGAATGAGGCAGCTACAGAGATGTAACTCGTGTGTTTGGTGAGGTTAAATTACTGCTTTTGTCAGTGGAGTTTGGTGGTGTTGAATTTTTCTTCAAATGTCAAAACTGTTATAAACGTAATGATCATAAAGGCCCCAAAGTATATAAAGAACAACAACAGTTTGCAAATACTTGTATTGCCCTTTAATACAAAGACATGAAGGGTACCTAAACAATGCAGCTTGAGTGTAGCAGGATATGTTAGTGAACAACAAAAGAGGCTGATACATGGAGGGGAGGTTTCGGTTAATACCTATGATAGATGTGAAGAGCTCAGGGGCCGAGCTACCAGCAGCCATGAAAGTGGCCCCCGCTACGTCCTCACTGAGATTGAGACGCTGTCGGAGAGATGGCAAAGACAAAAAAGGGTTAAAATTCGAAAAGACAAGGTTCATATTTTAAGAAATACCATTTAACATCAAAATAATCCAGAGTGATTAAAAAATGTATTCAGTAAATGTTGAGTCAATCTGCACCTTTAAAAAAAAGCTAAAGACCCAGCTCTTTCATGAATACCTACTAACTTAATGATGATGGTCTCCATATTATTGATGATGATGATGGTTGTGACGATGGTTTTTGTTTGATAACGTCGACTTATAAGATGGTTTCTTATAAGAACTGCCCTCAATGTTGTGCTTTGCCTCTGGTCACTTCCTGTCAGCACCTGTGTGTCCAATCGGACTCAAAGCTGATCGTTTGCTCTTACTGACATTGTTCCCTTTTTTCTAGATCCTTGCTTGTGTTGTTCTTACTCTCTGATGTACGTCGCTTTGGATAAAAGCGTCTGCAAAGTGAATTGTAGAATTGTCTCAATTGTGGCCCTGAGCGGACAGATCTACTAAAGCTCTCATATGTAATACTTAATCTGGTGTTTACTACAGTACAAGAATACTTCTTTAGATACTGCAGTTAGAGATCCAATACAGTAATATAAGAATGATAGTGAGCTTATCATTGATCACATTTGAGTATCAAGTTACGTGAAGAAAGCTTGTGAGAAAAAAAATCTCTTAGCAGGGATCCAAATTGAGCTGATTTTTTTTTCATATATTAGGCCTACATTAATTTATGTGTACAATTACAGTCACTGTCTTTAAAACAAATAATACAACCAAAACACGTCATTGCTGTATTTTAACGGTGTGATAAAAGACAGAGGAGTAATTATCCCATTTGTAGTTTCTGAGTCGTAAACTCTTGATCCATCATCACCACAAAACTTTTTCATTGTGGAGTTTTGCAACACTGTTTGTTCCAGAGCGTGGTCTAAGTTGGAAAGTGTGACCGTGTGATTCAAATGTTCTGGATTTGTCCCTTGCAACTTAAAATATTCAAGCTTGCACTTAGATTTGTTCTGCTTGTGCTTTAATTGTAAGCTCGGATGAATTGTACATTTATAAATAAATGGATGAGCGTGTGAGAAACAATATATGAGCACAGACGTACAATTGAAGCATGAGCTGAACAAATGTAATTATAAGCAGGGGCTCTTAGTAAAAAATGGGAATGCTCGAGAAAAATCTGTCCTTCAAGTCGATAAGCCATCCTCTTAAACTGCATTAAGATGAAGGTAAAATAACTTGAATTTTTCTTGACTTGTTCCTTTTTTGTCATTTAATTTCGTATAATAAGGAAAATTTCAAACAAATATTTGTGACCTCACATTCCTACCTCACACAGCTTCTCCAATGAAGGGACAAAGTAGTCATCACAGACGAGAGCCAGGGCACAGAACATGTAAATGGTCTGTGGAGAGAAGGAGAGAGAGAGAGATGAATAATATGAACATGTTTTATACACATGATATAGGATTAGTAATTCACCCAACAACACTCACAAAGTTCAGACAGCTGTGATGTATTCTTCCACATCTCATTTTAGCAGTACCATGTGACGGCGTACACCACTGTCTACGTCTTTTCATACCATTTAATCTTCATTTTGAACAAATCTCTGTCTGTGTCTTGAATGGTACGGTGGAGAACAACTCTCCGCTCGAACTACTACATTAAATTTAGATTTAATTACCATGAAAAATGAAGGAACAGGTTTAGTAATTGAAGGCTAAAGATACAGAGGTCTGATCCGATGCAAATGCGGTGCAGCACATTAACAGAAAAGACATCAAATATTCATGAATAACATGACTGTGGGACCACACTGCTTGCATTTTAAACTAGGAGATTAAGTTTTCATTTTTTAAACTTACTGGTACTATAAAGCCCAGAAGGGGAGTGTTGTGTGTTTTTGTTTATTTCCCTAATGAGATAAACTGGAAAGCAACATGAACCACGGCCCAAGTAAAAGAACAGTATTTGACACATTTAATGTAATGTGGTTTATATTTGTTCATTAAATTCTTTACAGCAATATTTGCACTGTAACTGCTGTATAAATGTTTTGAACCAAACAAGATAATATTCTACCTTAAGTCATATTGATTTCTTGCTTATGTTTGAAACTTTCAGTGAAGACTTATTTTCACTTCTATGACTTGGGTTAGGGTTAGGGTTAGGGTTAAATCTGACATGCCTCTTAAAACCTTAAATATTATGAACAAGGGGTTTGATGGTTCTTTTAAAAATTCTTATAGCTCAGCTTTGCTGCATGGACTTGGGATTCCTCATGTTTAGCCTCTACAGATATAATTAGTGCAAAGCACCAATAGAGTCACAGTAGCCACAACTAGGGAAATAAACCAGGTTAGATTATATCTGCATTTCCTCTAAGTATCCTTCAACATCATACATTTAAGTTTGTAACTTAAATAATTTATTATCTATTAAATATACTATTTTGAATAATCAAATACTGCTACGGACAAAATACATTTTATTTGGATGCAGTTTTAATATACAGTACACTCGAAAGGACAACCAATCCAATAATATCAATCTGCAAATAGAAGGCTCGTCTATAACATACATACAGCTGTGTTTTTTTTAAAGTTTAGCTCTCAGAGAGAGTGAGAGAGAGAGGCAGAGCAGGTTTAATAATAATAATAAATTAGATTATAGAGCGCTTTTCTAAATACTCAAAGACGCTTTGACAGGAAACAACAAAAAACAAAGCAAGAACTAAGAGAACAATACAACATAGACATGGTGTCGAGGGAAGAGGATGAGAGTTAGTGGTTGTAGGCAGTGATGAAAAGGTGAGTTTTTAGGGATTTCTTGCAGGAAGTGAGTGTGGGGGAGTCTCTGATGTTTTTAGGGAGAGAGTTCCAAAGGGTGGGAGCTGCAATGGAGGGTTATGTTTAAGAGGGACAAACAGTGGAAGGTAAAATAGGCAAACTATATTGATGTCAACAATATTGTCTTACCCTATATCTTGTTTAAAAATATATCAAAAACAAAAAAAAGCCCTAATTCTTGCAACAAAAAGTTATATTAATTCCAATGACAATGGTTCTGGAAACAAATAACAACAAAACCACAATAAACCTTCCTCCCAAATGTCTCCTCAATAGTCTTTCTAGGGCAGGAGTTATACTGACTGTTAATAATAATAAGTCCTCTATGCACACTTCAGTTAGTCATGGAGAGGAGCGCTGGTGGCGCAGTGGTTAGTGCGCGCGCCCCATGTATGGAGGCTATAGTCCTCAAAAGTGGGCGGCCCAGGTTCAAATCTGGCATATGGCTCCTTTCCCGCATGTCATTCCCCACTCTCTCTCCCTGAGTTCCAGCTCTATCCACTGTCCTATCTCTCCATTAAAGGCCCAAAAAGCCCAAATAATAAATCTTGAAAAAAAAAGTTAGTCATGGAGTGCCACAAGGTTCTGTGCTTGGACATATTCTCTTCACATTATATATGCCTCCTCTGAGTAATAACTTAACTAATAACTGATTGGTGACAACACCTAATAAATACTATTTATGTTTTCTTTTCCTGTTTTGTTACTGCATAAACACCCGCTGTTTGCCACCTCTTCTTGGCATCCAATATTGCACGAAGAGCACAGAGAAAAAAAAGGAAGATGGGATGAGAGACGGATCACGATGAGCAAGAGAAGAAATGTCAGGTTGACAGGTAGTCACGACAAAACTGTCTGGGAATGTGTGAACAAAGGAAAGCATGAATATTCTTTCAAAGACCTGTTTTCACCCAGAATGACACGGAGAGTGAATATTGCTTATCCCTTTTTGTTCCCAGAAGTGAGTCACACATTACTCTGCATTAGGAGTTCTCCTATTTTCTATTTCTGAAAGCAGGAGAGAGTGAGCTGAACTTACAAACGTCTGCGTGAAAGGTAAGACTGAGCCCACACATATGCAGTGTATGTGCATGTATGACAAAACGACCGTGTTATAGCTCACATGTAACGCCTTAATGTCCAACGTGTTCTGATTATAGGTTTCAATGCTTTACCATGGCTCACTACCCTTTGGCATTCCATATGCACAAAGTAGCATCAGTAATTCATACGGTACTCTCTTGCGTAATGAAATTGTTTTTCCTAATTCTTACTTTGTGATAAAGTCTCATCTTAAGGCTAGGTAACTTTAAAAACCGAGTAGACTATAGTATGGGTACTCTATGCAGGTGGGTAGGTATACAGACAGGTAAGCAATCACTCCAATCCTGATAAAATAATCACCCCAGAGCTATGGCTAAGGTGTTATTGTGAACTGCACCATAGTTCAATTGTCACTCAAAGCTGTCATCACAGCTTTGCAGCCACATCGATTCTGTATCATCTGCATCGATGTGTATTTGCAAGGAGCACATGACAATATCATGCAAAAGCGATTTTTTTTAGCAAAGCCCTACCACACACACATGCACAAACAGGATGCTATTGGACATGCACTAATGGAGAGAAGTCAGAGTGAGTGGGGGGGCTGCCCACAGGGACTGCTCCAAGCAGGTGGGGGTCCGGTACATGGTTGACAGGCACCTCGGCTGTGCTCAGGAAGGGAAGTGCTGCTCTCAAGCTACCAGAAAAATTTCCAGATTTGGTCTGCACCGGGACTTGACCCTCCGGTTCCCAACCCGAGTCCCATACTGACTGAGCTACTGCCGCTCTAACACTCTTTTATCAACACTATAGCGATTGAGCTATAACGACTCTTGCATTTGCAGAAGACCATGTGATACTTTGGTATCATCAATATGGTTGTGTCATTATTCAAGCAGACTCCGTTAAGAAGGGAGTGGTTGATTTGCAAGTTGGACTTTTGGCCTTCTCTGGTCTCTGAGTTGTGCGGGAAGAGTTGTAATACCTGAACAAACAGACGATGACACTCATGAAGAATAAGACATCAATTATTTTTTCACATTAGTCAAAACCTTCAGTCAGTTTGTATATCTGTCAGAGTGAGGTCTGTAAAATGCACAAGCAGTTACCACTTGTTACAGTAGGGGCCGCCAGAGAGAAAAAAAGTCCAATCATAAAGATGCAAACTTAACCATAATCAACTACCCTGTTGCCCAGTGCCAGACAAAACAGACAACTGCATGCAGAGCAGAAGGGTCTTTTTTGTGAAAGTAAAAATAAGGCACTGCTTTGTCCGCAGAGGTCGCCAAAATAAGACTGTACCAAAGTTGGTTCAAAGTCGGCTCTACAGATGAATTAATCTTAATTTTATAAATAGGTGGAAAGTGGAAGATAGAGAGGAAAGTCAGGAGAGGAGGGATGACATGCAGCAAATGCTTAACTGTACTATCAATGTAACCCAGACTGCTGCAAAAATGATTCAGCCTTAAATGGGTGCACCTGAGTCTGTTTCTCTAAGATATGTTTATCAGCTGTTTCTGAGGTTGTGAGTGAACTTCATCTAAAAATATAAGAAATTCTCATTTTAATTGAATGTTACCTTTAGCAGTTTTATTCCATGTTTAAGAGCACTTTACTGCAGCCTGGCATACGGCTTTTTATCCTGAGCATGATAACAGACCCATACCGCTCCCATTTATCTTGTTCCCTGGCTAACACCTGATTTATTTTTGAAAACCTGTTTGAAGACATTTCAGAGACTACACTGCATGTCACAGTTCAAATAGTTGCAGTAACAGCAAACAGGCTTTCACCTCGGGCATCTATTCTAAATGTTCCAAAAGTGGGAAAATAGAAACAGCATTTCAGCTAGTCAGCATGTATTTGTCCTGATGTCCTTCCTGATATTCACATTAAGCTTATCTTTTTCCACAATGTCAAGTTTAGTAACACCTGCTATGAAAAAAAAGGACATGTAATATTATTTTAAAGGTTAGACATCACAAGGAAATAGCTTCTGATGATATAGTCTATTTTTGCTTTTTTTTTTTTTAATGCACAAGCATCTTAGAAAAGGTTACTTTCACTTGCCCTTCTGCAGCAGGAAAAGGCTAACTCAGAGGGTGGGTGCACTGTAAGTAGTGACACTGGCGGTAATGTCAAACATGTTGGGTAGTTCTTAGTGCTCTATTTATGATCAGCAAAGTTCCCCGGAGACGATGCTATGCTGGCATGAACCACCATTACAGTTGTTCCCCCCAGAGACTACCAGCAACTGAACAACACAACACAGGTCATCATGTACCGATGACTGTGCACTCTGCCTGCACACAGGAGTGACAGCAGAGAGGCTAAAATCATAGCCTTTACCCCACATATTGACCCCTGCTAGGCCACACTTATGGCATATGGCAATCATGATGAGAAATGATACACTCATCTTTCATTTATTTAAAAAAAAAGCTGAAAAAAATTAAGGTACACACAGATTGCTTAGGGTTCAAATGAGTGGTCAAACATTCATTCATTCATTCATACCAAACATTTTTAGTAACTGTGTTTCCTTTGACACAAAAAATATATATATATGGGCCATTCTACCGAATTGGTTCAAAGTCAGGTTGGAAATATTTTGAAAAGTTTTATTCCCAATTTTTTTTCCCTATATATATATTGTTCCATAGCTGAAGTAAAAGAACAGTTAAATTTGATATTGTATTTTTAGACTGTTTTGGAATGTATTTCCTCTCCTCAAATTTGTCACGACCGAAACATAGTATTAAACTATGATAAAAACAATATTATGTTAACCTGTTAGTATTATGTTTACTTCCCTTATGTAAAGATTATTTTTACAATTTTTTATTGAAGGTTTTCACAATAAAATCAATAAAAATGATTTTTTTAACATATTTCATTTTGATTTTTAAAATTCTTCAAAATCTATTTGCAATCTTTCATTCTAAAATGTCCAACGCTGATCAGATTGATTCTAGAGTTAATTATTTATGAGATGGAACATACAGTTAACCAATCAGTATTATAACATTTTAGTTAATAGCTCAATATATATATATATATATATATATATATATACACCTTTAGCACTTTAATAGTCTATGTCCATCCCATTCTCTCTCTATTCCATTCCTATTTATCTGCCACCACTTATTATGTTTACCTGGGTTGCTTGTTACCTGCTTCAGAGGTCTTGCAGTTATTATTCTCCTCCTGTGTTGCTACTTTTCTTTTTGGCATAACATGAGCAACATATAAATAGTTAAGATTAACATTAAAGGGGATAAACCATGTGGTCAAGAGACAAAACTTTCCTTCCTGAAGAAGGAAAACTGCCAGATTGGCTTCCTTCAGGAGACCCATGTTTCAGATCTCAAACACATGAAACTATGTAGAAGCTGGGTGGGTCAGGTGTTTCACTCCTCTTATAACAGCAGTAACCATGGGGTGGCAATTCTTATACACAGCAGTCTTGCATTCAAGGTGGACAATGAGATTAACGATAAGGAAAAAATTAAGATTCTACAAATGCCAACCAATGCTGGTCGTCTTGGCCTACTCACTATACTTTTTTATATATTTTTAATTGTTTTATATACTTTATTTTACTGGGCTTGCCATGCTCGGATAATATGGGGTTGGATTCGCTCATACAGTGCATCTTGATTCAACCTTCTGCATCGATTCCTGGGCCTTCCTCCTTTTACTACCTGTTACATGACACTTGTCCAATAAGCTTGTTTAATGTCCAACATAAAGGGTAAAATGGAACTTAATAATGAGTACATAGAAGACGTCTGGCAATTGTATCAAAACTGTATTTCCTTGCAATAGACTGAGGGAAACTCAATATAAAATTTGTCATAAACGTACTTGGCAATTAAAAAACGGATTCTGATTCTAATTGTACAACCTGCTGGAAATATCCACAGAAGCTTTTTGAAATTAAGGCAATAACTGATATAATACCTCGGGATCTTCAGCTCAAACAGAAAGGCAAAACATGGGAGCCTATGCTAAGCTTCGGGCTAAGATGCTTAAAATTCATAGATACAAAGTTATGCTGCGACCACGGATTTGACACCATTGGGCAACAATTTCTGGATCAGGTTTAAAAGACCAAAAAAAAAAACTTGTATTAATTTACATAATTTATTTTTTTATGATTTTCTGTAATACCTCAAAAATGAGTTAAAAACCTTTGGGGAAATAAGTAAATGGTAACATGTGTTCAGACTATCTTTGGATGATCCTTCAAGTAATTGGTCTGACAGTTAATGAGACAGATAGTGTTGCTATGTGATGTTTTTTTTTGGTTGAAACGTCTGCATTTTTAATGTTGCAACTGATGTGACGTACAAGGGAAACTTCACAGATATTAAACATCAAAGTCTGTTAAAAGCTGTTGGGGAGTTCTACGGCTCATTTTTAAAAAGTTATTTTTGCATTAAGTGGCTCCAGAGGGAGAAGTGTGGAGCGTGTGTTCAGCACAGCGAGCGTTTGTTGGGCCCATAGACTACACCTAGAATCAGCACCTTGTGTTTCTGATGTTACAGTTTATACCAACCTATGTTTTAACCAGATAGTAAAAGTGTAACTTTGTCAACACAGATGACTGGGGATAAATGTGATTATTTCAGGACCAATTTTTTTACATGTTAACATTAACACAAATAAAAAAATGCATAAGTAGCCTACATGAAACACAAGCATGGAATTGTAAATATGTCTTCATTTTGACACGTACAAACAGGTATGGGTCGTTTACAGCGAGAGAAACTGCCCCATACACATTCAAGAAGGGACGAGAATAAATCAGATTAAAACCTCCAGGTGTTGCTGAGATGTTGTATTCTTCAGAATTGGAACACAGTTGAGGTCACTGTGACCTTGACCTTTGACCATCAAATTCTAGAGAATACATACCTTGGTGCTAAATGAATATTTATGCCAAATTTGAAGATTTCCCCCTTCAGGAATTCCTGATCTTTCAAGTTTAAAGAGTGGGGATATGAAAAGAAAATATTCAAAGTTGTATTGTCCTTAATGTAAAAGGTCACTTTAGCCCTTACGCAGAATCTCAGAGGAATGTAGAAATCTGTAGGAGAAGGTAACTTACACACAGGACATGCAGGGCCACAGCTCCTTCTGTTCTCTCCTTGTGTGTGAACAGGTCTGTCGGGAACTCGTGCAGAGCTGCAGGGAGACAGAAACATACAGGTCAGAGCAGTTAATAAACAGCACAAGAGTGTGTGAATATGTATGTGATGGGTTTGGGACAGGAACATATTTCAAAAGCCCAGCAGGAAGGTGAACCTTTTCGAGCACAGACAACCATTAAACCCATGTGTTTCTGACAAAAATGGGCCAAAAGAGAAACGCTGCTCAAGTGTGTGTGAAGTGGCAACTGTGCCCTAGCCAAGGACTGTGTATGAGCAGGCCTCCTTCCTGGGAGAGCGACAAGAAGAAGAAAAAAAGGGAAATGGAAAAAAGGAGCACTAGGAGGACAAAGCGAGGGCGAAGAGGAGAGAGTCCATTTTATAAATAGCGCGAGGGATATTTAGGGTAAGGCAAGAGGGATGGAGAGCAAAAGGAGAGAGGAAAGGTGGTTGGAGTTTTAGCTGTACTTTTCAAACTCTCTTCTTTGCATGGGGAATATCAGGACAATGGAGCGACAGAAAGCACACTGTTTGTGTGCAGAAGACGGAGATAGAGGAGTGGAAAGTTGGCAGAGGGAGAGAGAGAGTGAAAAGAAGAGGGAGCTTTAAATGGTGCCCTGAGTTATTTTACCCTCGCTCCATGGTTCTTGACTTCCTCCCCTCTCTCTCTCTCTCTGGCCCCCACGGTTTCCCCCTTCACTGCTGAGACCCCGCGACAGGCCTCTGGGGCTACCGGAGTGGTTTTAGGAACCTTTGCCTCACACCTCTCAAGGATCAAATCACCCCTGTCATCGTTTCCTCACACACTAATCAGGAGCACATTCGCAGGTCACCGCTAACATCTGTTACATATTTAAGCACCTACTCCTTTTTTCCTGGGAAAGGCCAACTAGGCACCATGTAGAGATCTTGGATAATGGCTGCTAGCATGCAAAAAACATTTTTTTTTTGCCAAAACAGAAATATAATTAGTTAATTTACCTTTGCAGTAAACACAGAGGACCTTGGGGGAGATCCTGGTGAAGTAGAAACTAACAAACTAACAGGAGCCTTTAGTATGCTAAGGGTAATTCAGGTATGGGCACTAGCAGGTATTCTCATTTTGGGGGTGTGAATTAGCTGATAGCTTCAATTTCTTTTTTTTGGATATGCTCCAGTAGTTTGCTTTGTCCAGGAGCTTTGAGACCAGCTGTAAATCTCTGCAAGGTGATTTTAAATCTTGGGGATGCAGACGATCAATTACTTTCCAATAAAAAACTCTGAATATGATAGGCTCAGATCCTAAACATGAAAAAGTTTCCCGATTTTCAGCTGAAGAACTTTTTGTTAAAGCAAAGAGCCTTTAGTTCAAACCATCTCTCTCTATTTAAAGTCCCCCCGATTCAATCGACAAAACTCGCTTTTACATTGCAAGAAACAAGAATTGCTGTTTTACTGCTCGCCTCTATCAGATAATCTGTTTTATTTTGTGACTTTAGTGTTTAAAACCAGGTCGTTTGGATACAAAATATTTGTGATTCAAGCTGTAACACAAAACAAAATGTATTGATTGATGCCTCAAAAGACACAAGACTGTTCTGCTTTAGTGAGATGACCGTATTTTAAATGGAGTCTGATTTAGAAACGGAGCAATTCAACAGCTTTTTTTTAAGACTCATCACGTGATTGTGATGCGAGGATTTCTGAGCTTGTAATGCAAGTAAACAATTTCTGTGCAAATGGAAAATAATGTGTTATCTTATCTTGTCAAAAAAATAAACAAAAGAACCAAACTTAAGGCTCTAAAATGGGAGTCTAAACCTGTGGGTGTCATCTTGGTGGCTTCGACCATTTGTTTTTATCCAGTGCACGTATGGGCTTTGCCGATAAAGTTTAATATTAACATGTTGGACCAACTTCCAAAATGAAAATGATCAACTCTCCAACTTTCTTTAGGCTGCATAAGACTTATGACTTTTGGAATCTTCCAGTCAGTCTTACCCTAATGCTAGATTTGTTTTAAGGTGACTTTAAAAGAATGAACTTAGAGTGAAAGTTAAACTCTGATTATCTTGTCGGTGACAGAGAGCATGCTCATGATATGAGATTTAAGAATCAGGAACATCAAGGTTACATGGTCTGCATCTCACAGAGCATAATGCACTTTGTTTAAGAGGCAGGTGGGTGAAAGAATGAATGAATAAACTGAGTGAGCCTGGAGTAGTTTATCATCCACCTACATTTAGTCTCAAGAATAAAAAACCTCCACAAAATGTTCCAGAGACAAAAACCAGAGCACAATAGTTTACTACTTTCCCACTGCTTTATCCCTCTCTCCAAACTTTTTTCTTCTCTGTTGACCTATTTGCATCCACAGCATCTCGCTGCGGTCCCCCCTCTGCACTGCTTAACTGCTCAAACTTTTTAAGCATAACACAATACAGAGCAGCCCGTAAAAGCCACAGAGGGTACAAAGCAGCACAGCAGACGGCCATCTCACAGCGGCAGCTGGATGTGTTTAATATTTACTGTTACAAGCCAGTGTTAGCTTGCTTTAACTCCACCCAACCAAAATGCCAGGCTGGTGTGTAAAGGGAAAGAACAAGCAGCTCTCATGTGAGGGAAGAGGTTCAGTGTCGCTGAGAAAAGGATAATACAGATGACAAAAAATACAATAAGCAGAATGCTGGATTTGATGTAAGTATTCAAAGACCTGCAGCTAAAACTCATCCTGCTAATTACAGTTCTAATAAAGATGAAGCCCAGTTTCCTTTGAGAAGTAGCTGGTACAGTGCAGACTTGATATAAAACTGCAACCCCACAACCATCCACTGAACCTTTTTTGTAAATGGTGTCTTTACAGTGGCTGCTGGTGCTTTATTCTGCAGGGTGGACACAACTTCTTACAGATGGACCAGGATGTATATCTTAGTTCATTAGGTTGATGTTAACACATGATGGAGGAAAAAAAACATTAAACGGCTATAGGGATAGCATCGCAATAATTAAAACTTAGGAAACGATCTGTTTCACTTAATAAAAAAATAATAAATAAACAACAATGTGTGCACCTGGTTTACAGGCATGTGGAGAAAAATGTAAAATAAAGCTGACTCGTGCTAGTCAGGTCTGCAGCTCTGATCCAGTGACACTGCATGACCCGGTCTTTATGTCTCAGTTCATGGGACATGCCCCTCTGCTGCCTACTCTTTGCTGGTGGTGTGTTTCTGAGCGTTCCTGTGCCCGTTGAAGAACCTTGTATTCAAGCGGAGCAAATGCTCATTTTCAACTCATACTGTAATGCGAGTCATTGGAGGCCCAGAGCGCTGGATTCTAACACCCAAGAACGACGGCTCCGTTAGTACTGGTAGATATATTTAGGTTACTTTAGACACTTTGAATGTTTTAAATCTACATTTTTAGAGCGGATAATATATTTGACTAAATAGCTACATAATATTTACCTTGCCCTTTTAAAAATGTACATGTACTGTATGTATAGCCTTTTATTGAAAAATAATTAAAGAAATCTTCAGGTTAGGGTTAGGGTCATTGAAGGTGTGTCATTCTCCTTCACATTCTTTGATATGTCACACTGCCACATACATTTGAAACAGATAGACTACTCTTACTACTTGGGAACAATGCAACTGTCTGTAGACAAGACCCCATTCATTTAATAGCGTATATTCATTCACAGCTGAGCAATAGGCATGGCAGACCACCTGTCATATTTCTTCACCTGTGCGGTGTTAGCTTACAAACACATTATGAAATGGAATAAACATTAAAATGACAAATTTGTAACAGGTCTAATTAGTTGGCTTTGCTACCTAAAATAAACTGACTATATATTCAGTAGTTTTCCATTTTGCAGTAGCAGTAGCACACGGTTAAGTTTGGCGTCCAGGCACCTGACCTTATTACTCACTGCAGATTTGTTTTACATGCAGACGTTTGAGGAGTGATGAGATCAAATCTTAAACGTAATTCTACTGCCTATAGCCTGAACCTGCAAGTGGATGTTGGAGCAGTGGTGGAGCTGAAGGAATGAGCACAGTACTGGTGCAAGGCAGCGATGGCAAACAACAACAGAGCAGAAGGACACCTGCAGCTTAAACAGAAGCCAAAGAATGACGCATGTTGAGTGTGTTACAGTGCAGCTTCAGCTCACTGCCTGAAGCTGACTTGCGGGCACGACTCTCTTTTATTCAAAAAAGAAAGCATACAAAGGGTCATTCACTGTGTAGTAGTTCAACACTTGCCTGGAAGCCGGACCTGAATGTATTCAGAATGAAGGCTTACATCAGCAGCCCCCTTATATGAAACAGAGCTACACTGGAGGACCTATTAGCCTGAGACATACAGTATTTATAGCCAAGGCCACAATTTGGAAGATTCCCATTTAACAGCTGGTGACGAGATAGGGACCAACTTAAGGAGATAACTTTTACTTTGTTAGCAAGCTCCAAGTCTGATATAACCTTCACACATTAACTCAGTGATATACACAGTATCCAGCTGCACTGGCCTGATTTGTGTTGAGCATTTCAGACAAAATGACAAATTAGACCAGGGGACAAACCCTCTTCATGGAGTTTTTCTTCTGGTGACAAAAGATGGCAGTGGTCACATCTATACCATCTTTTCTTTGGACTGAACTTATGTTGGACATTTGCATACATGAAGTAATTGTAAAGAACTCAAAAAGATTCAAATCTACATTTTCAATGGGGGACATTAAGGGATAACATGCTTAAGCATCAGTTACTGTAAATCATATTTTTTCAAATTGAGCAAAACACTGTGTTCAACTATTTGGTTTTGAAGGGGAAAGTATGCAGTCTATCCTATGACCAGCAGGGGGCAACACCCCTGACTGCAAAAGATGCCAATTATTTGACTCTCATTCTAACTTCATCCAGATTGTCTTAATCATCTATTTCTGTATGTTTATGATCTCAATGGCTAGTTTCAAGTCTTCTTCTATACAGAATGGTGTAAGAGTAAAACAGGCAGGATATGCGTTAGGAATGGGTCACAGGTCACTATTATTAC